CTGAAAGTAAGACATAATGCTTTATTATTCTTTGATATGATAAAAAAGATAAACATAACCTTTCGTTGGGAGCAATGATGGTGATATGCATCCCTAGGGTTGGGGTTTCTAGTTTTCTCTCTATTGAGAGTTGATGGCTTGGAAGGGGGAGAACGTTGGGGAGTCGGTGTTTGTTTCTGCCTTTGATATGTTCCTTTTTCTCTTCTTCTGGTCTAGCAATCGTTGAGTTTATCTTTTTGCTTAGGGTCTATTTTATTTTGGAGAGACCAAGGAGACCAGTCGAATGGGATCTGGTCAGGAGGAAGTGAAGGACTTGATGAAGGTGATGGGGTGCAATGGAGGGTTTAGTGTTAAGGGGGCTGGACATGGTGACGGGTGTAAGAGACGGGCTGTCGTTTTAGGATATGGCAATGGACCTTGCAGTGTGAAAAGGGCTGATGATGAAGGGTAGACTGGGGGCTGGAGGCAGTGGATGGTTAATGGTTGAACGATAATTCAATCTTTCTCCAGCAATGTGTTTTTAGGGAGAAGATTTGTGATATTTGGGGATTTGATCTCCAATATTTTTAGGCAAAAAATCAAGAACGTAGTTTTGATTTTGATTTGTTCCCTATTTTGGAGCTTTTCTGTTGTAACGGAGTTCTGACCCTAATCTTTTAGTTTCTTTATCTTGTTTTTGAGAAATATGGTAATTCTAGATTAAACTATTTATAATTACTCATTTAATTTTATAAAACTATATAATAATAACCTTTATGAGGTTAGGTGAAATTTTGATGCGGTAACAGGTGTTCCGTTATCTCATTATATTTTTATTTTATTCTCTAATCATCAGTCGTATTTGTTTTTCTCATAAAAAAAATCTTTAATATGATAATGACTACCACTACTAGAAAAAGGCACAATTTCAGTAAGAGAATTTTGATCAAGTAACTTTTTTGATCGAAAAAACAAATAATTCGGACAAATTGAATGACCGAATATCATATTTGTCTGCAAAAAATAAAAAAAGTATATAATTCAGTCTTATTTTACTTTGGTTAAGCCACTTGACAGAAATAATTTGGTGCCAATTGGTGCCAAAACAAATTGGTCAAGTGGCTTGACTGAATTATGAAGTAATAGTTTATTCGGTCAAGTCACTTGACCGAATAAAAATAAGAAAAAATTTACTATTATTTTATTTTAAAAAATAATATAAAATATTATTAATTCGGTTAATAAATTGACCGAAATAAAATTTTGAATCAATTTGGCATGTCATGTCAGGATTCTAAAATCGAAAGAAGCATGGGAAATGAGCAAATGAGATTTCCTGCATGTTTCGGTAAGTGTGCATGACCGAAACAAGCATGGCAAATCTCAAATCAAATTTGCGATTCAGATTTGCCATGCTTCTTTCAATTTCAGCTAAGCATGGCAAATCTGATTAATTTATTTAAATTATAAATAATTATAATTATTTGATTAGTAAATTATAATTACAAATTTAAT